ATCTATGAGAAGATACTGAACCATTCTCCCAGGGTGACCCCAAAATCACCAAGATATGGCTGGTTGGGGAATTCTGGGAGTTGAAGTCCACACATCTTAAAGTCGCTGAGGTTGAGAAACACTGGTCTAAGCTGTGTCCAAATCTGGCAAGCTCAGCTCCTCAAATGCTCAAGTTTCAGTCTATTAAAAAAAAACAAAAAACCCTAAGGACAGTTTATAAACCTTTATAAAACAAGGGCTTATTTGCAGAGGACAAATGGAGAGGGAGTTTTCTTTCTTAAAACTGTCTAGAATCTTCTTTCTGTTATCACAAAGGCCCAGCGAATATCTACTCAATTAACCTCCAAATTCAGCCTCATCAGCTCCTCAAACCTTCACATTTCAGCCTATTAAAAAAACATAACAACAGTTCATAGGCCTTTATAAAACGCCTTGTTTGCAGAGGACAAATTGAAAAGGACTTTTTTTCCTTTTAATTTGTCTAGAATTTGTGGTTTGTCTATTCTCTTAGAGCCAAAATATGTTCCTTGTGTATTTGGGTGTGCATTAAACCTGAAATATAGCATTTAAAAGAAATGTGGGTAAAATAGAAATTGAGGTGTGGTGGTAAAGGAAGAGAGGGATGTGTGTATGAGATAAAAGAACAGTTGTAAGATTATTGCTCGTAGTCATCTAGAAATCCTTTGCCAAGTGCTTGTTTATGGAAGACCTGTACAATATCAACTTCATTCCTATTCCATTATCAAGGACAACTATTTCAATTGTAATGAAATAACTTAACAGATATGATGCAGGAGGAAAAAGACATGTGGAAGATAAGAAACTTGACTTCATTGAAGATCTGTGTTTTTGTGAGGGAAGAAATCAATAGTAGTTGGTGCCAGCTGAACCAAGGAAGCAAATTGCATTGGCTGGTTCACACACTTCAGAGAGCTGTGATTTGGTTAACGTTAGTTTGCTGTTAATTACAGTTGGGAGGTTTTGTGTGGCACTAAATCTTAAACCACCTATCAACCATAAATCTCCTATCAAGCTTTTTAAACCAAAATTGAATAAGCCAGAGCAGAAGCCCAACATATTTCCTGCAGCCCCTTATTCACAGCCTTTAATTTTGGGGAGGAATGCTCTCTGCACCCATTCTTCCCCTTCCATGAAACAAGGACCAACACAACTTTCCTTGTTCTTTCTGGTGATGTCACAGTATCACTAGATGGTTTTCCCGTGGTCCTCTAGAAAGCCATGATACGGAATTGTAGCCACTGACACTCCAGTGTGGCTCAGAAGGAGTGGCTGCAAGTATGTGGCGGAGTTCTTTACAGTCTGTCAAAAGCTGTGCCACAACCATCCCGTGGTGACATTTGACATCTTTTTTAGATAGCCGTAAAATATGCATTATTGCTAAGCTTCATTTCATAGCCACCCAGAGTTGCTGAGAGTCAGGCGGCATATAAGCGTAATAAATTATAATTACAAAGGCTAACTTTATAGACCTTTCTGAGAAAACTAACGGAACTAACAGTGAACCCACAAGCCTTTTGGCATCACTTCCTTTCTGTGCTTTCCAAATATACAAATGCTTTGATTATTTTAGGAAACTACTGTTGAGGAAAGTTCTAAGATTTCCTGTGTATAGTTTTGCTTTATTGGCTTGGCAGTGGTGAGCTGTCTAGATTTTATAGGTTACACTGGTTTACTTTTTACTCACAATTGAGCCTTAATCCCAAACTGCATACAGTATGTCTTTGCTCTTCTTGTTTACAGTTGCCTGTATGTATGCAATCATCTTTTTATATCTGAAATTGAATGCGTTATCGGAAGTAGAGAAAACAATGGCTGTTAATGTATTAGGTATTAAATTTTGGATTAATTAGTTTGGGAGCTTGGTCTAAGCAGATCTACAGCTTGGCTCTTCCACAGCAATCATTTTAAATGTGGTTTGCCTGAGGGAAAAATAAAATTGGAATGGCCCTAAACTCTGTTTTTCTATAATCAGTGTTAACATTTTGCCTAAAAGTGCAGAATAGTCTCCTTTGCAGAGTTAATAGCTAATTGAAAGACATGTGGCCCCTTTATTCAGCTCTCAAAATTTTGCAGCTTTTACAGAGATGTACTTGATAGTAGCAAAAATTCTAAAGGGTTGGTATCAAAATTTAAAAAAAAAACAGGACAAATCATAATTCTCTTTAAGTCTGTATTGGTATTCTTGTTCTCCTGGCCATCCTTCAACCTGAACTCTTTTGCCTGAAGATGATTTGCACAATATTAATGCCAGGCAAACTACCATCCCAGCTTACCCTATATTTCTAGAGTCTGTCATTACGTAGGCTCTTAAAACATATCCTCTGATAATAATGCATTTATTACATGCTGTGCAAACGCTCCTCGGTTCCTACAAGTTTGCAGCATTGGCTGAGGCCTGAGGAACTTTGTTGGGATGTTCTGATGATGCAAGAAAATCAAAACAAATTAGTTTATGGATCCTATATCTGATGAGAAAGGGAATGAAATGAAATGGATTAAAATAATCCCCAATGCAGGATTGTACATAGCTATTTATTGTAACATTTGTCAGGGTTGTTAGTGGGAAGCTGCATATAAATGTGGTCTCCCTCCAGCCTATAAATACTTAAGGATTAATAGATAATGTGGTTTTCTAAGTAAGAGCCAACTTAATCAGATCTGTGGTAAAGATGGATCTGTA